CATCATCATCATCATCATCATCATCATCATCATCATCATCATCATCATCATCACCATCATCATCATCATCATAAATGGCTTTCGTATAGCGCATACCCTCGCTCGAAAGAAAGTTCTATGTGTTTTGCACACTATATTATTACCACAGCAGACCATAGAACACTCAGAAACATTTTCAGCTTCGCGGGAAGCAAACATTTAACAGCAATAATAATTAATAATCAGAAACGAAGAGTTACGAAAAGTGACAGTATGTTAACCCTCCGGTGACCTTCCCTCAAGTTATCGATACGCTTTCGTTCAGCGAATATCAAAAACAAAAACAACAAAGTAAGATATGATACTAAAATTGTGTGTATATATATATATTCATATATTTCAATGGAGCGAAACATGTTGTATAGCGGTTAGGTGTTTCACTGTCGTGTGCAGGAGACCCCAGTTTGATTCCCGCTTGGGGATACGTTTTCATGAGCATCTCGGTTTTTCAGCTGGAATGTTTTGTCCCTTTCAGCCTGGAGTTGACCCTGGAAGACAAGGTCGTAAGACCGTCTCTTAAACGATCTAGATTGTGCTGAAGACGGTGTAAAAACACCTACACAAATGTCCTACGCCCAAAGCCAAATCCAAATTTAAACTGAAAAACCCCAACTCACTCCCATCTTTAAAAAAAACAACACCATCACCACAAACAACAACAACAACAACAACAATAACAAGAGCAGCAGCAGCAGCAATAACAACAACAACCAAAAAAAAAACGAAAATTAAAACAAAAGTAAAACAAGCCACCAATGAAGGAATGTTGATTTATTCAGTGGAAAAGTCATGACATGAGCAGACACGAATCGACAAAAAGTCACAATGAGAACGAAGGGGTAGACACTATGATATGGTAAGGGTTTAAATCCCCCAGCAACACAATGAGGTCATTAAAGAGGCGGTATCTCAAAATCCAAAGTTCATCTCCAGTAAGGCCGAGCCAAGTCGTTAGACAATCTCGAAA